TCTCAAATATTGAAATACCGAGGGATTCGGGGGGTTGAAGGGCCGGGGACTTCAAAGGTAACCCATAAAATCGTAGGCGTCGCAATTTCGATGGGCTTCCTGGCCTGGCGCTCGAGATAACCGGAATATTCGATAAAGCTCAACTCACACCACCCACATCCACTCATCCCTTCCACACTTTCTAGCATCCCTTACATCCACGCAAGATAGGCATTCCGAGAGGAATCTCACGTCCTCATACCCCCATGGGAAACAGCTACTGGGGGTGGAGGCGAGCCAGTGTGTCACAGCCACCGTAGGCTCTGTATGTGAATGGTTTCACGGTCGTGAGAGACGACGAGGGTTGCGACATTCCACTGTGGCAAATGCGTCTATTCATGATGGAGTTACACCTCTTGTGCACACGCAAATGGTGCGTCTGACTGTGAGATTTCGTGCTTCGCGGGAGGATTTGTGGAGGTCGTACATTATGAAACATGTTATTGAATCATTTTATCGAAGAAAAGGTTGTGATAGATGAGAATTTATCCAGACGTCTCGATATTTATTTCTTCTCATTTATTCTCATTTATTTTTTCTCATTTTGTTGAACAAAACGTTATAATAGACCGGAATTTAGTCAATTATCGCCAGTGACATAACAAAATGAAAAGATTCAAGAAGTAAATATGACATAAAGTAGTACGTCATTTTCCAACAAGTAATGCAAATTTTTAACAATGTTTCCACTGAAATTTCAAGGGATTTTATCATTGAAAATGTCCAATTTCATGAAAAAATTCATGGGAACTGTAAATTTTAGTTCAATTATTCCGGCAAAATGTATTGTTGAATTATTCTGTTGAATAAAACGTTATGATACATGAGAATTTCTCCGATTGTCTGGACATTAATTTTTACTCCCTGATTTTTCGCAGAAATAGTAACTGAAAGTTATCACCCGTGACATAACAAAATGAAAAGGTTCAAGCAGTGAATATGAAATAAAGCAGTAGGACGCCATTTAAACAAGAGCTACTGGCTTCCCCGGAGAGAGACCTGCCTTCTTCAATGGTTTTTCCACCCTTTCCGCATTTTTACCATTTTCATTCTCCGGGTTTTCAAGAACAGTTCTTTATGCAATTGTATGTGGTTCTTTGACCACAGTAAGAAGAAAGAAAACAAAATGTTACAAAGGAAAATCCCAGCCCCTTCGCATCTCTTCTTTCCTTTTTATGGCATGCCCTTCTCTCAATTCCAAGCGCTGCTGACAGCCCACCCTCCAGCTACACTCATGGATCGGTTTTATATATTTTTCCCTCACTTATTTCCTTTGAAAAACACGTTCTTATAATACGGAGTCAATCGATCCAGTTTCTTTTATATCCGGATGTGTAAATAGAGTTTATGCCTCTTCTCACACGCTCTCATGCACATCCACGTGACTCGATCCTCGGTATCATTGGGAGAAATTGCCAGTATGCGGCGATAACATCGTACCCCGGAATTTTCCTATTTATTTTTTTCCCTCCATTCCCCCGTGAACAATATCATTTTTCTTTATACAACGTCTCACTCTCACTTTCTTCACATGGAAATCCTTTCGTACTCTCGCTTTCCCGCACGGTCTCTCATGACCCAACATATTTCAATGCATGTACGAGGACATAAAATGTTATGCACGAGGGGTATCGGGGCAAAAAATGCGAGACGAATAGCGAAGTTTTTGCCGCTGCCTCGGGGAAATCTACTGAAGGTGACGGTAATTTGTGTCGCAGCTTTAAAAATTACCGTGAATAATTGCTCAACAACTCTGGAGATCGTCACACATTTTTTTCCAATATTTGAAAATATCGGGCAAATTGATTTTATCCAATGAAAAATTGTCGATAAAAAAATCGTCGATGAAATCGCAAAAATAATTGGAGTAAAACGAATTTTCCCTCATTCAATCCAAAATGGAATTGTCATCCTCAGATTCCCAGAGTGCAATCATATTCTGAAATCAAGAACAAAAAATTCCCAACATCCTTTAAAAATAAAAAATTCAAAATAACTTATCCTTCCCAACATTCCTGAATCGGCAACTCCCAGAATACCCCCTGAAAGCATCATTTAACCGGAATTTCAATGTAGAATCGTCCCCTCAGTTTCCACTTAACCGGTCCCATTCATTTGTAAGAAGAAAACCCGCTGAGGTCGAGAGTTTCAAAACTCCCGGAATGGTCCACAGAGCCGATGCAAAAAGTTGGAAAAAACCTCGCTACAGCAATAAACAGTGGAAAGGGAGAGGAATGCACATAGATATACCCCGGCAGAGATCAGTGGCCCTTTGGTGTGCAGTCGGACCTACTTGGCTCGTTTAGAGTTCGGGAGTTGGTGATGAACGGAGTGTGCAGTGTCGAACACCTCCGCAACCTCGCTTCCTGGACGTATAAGTATCCCGAGTATTTTAATCTCGCAGTGTCTAACGTTCTTTAAATTGAACTTCAATTGAAAATTCTGTTAGTTTTCAGCCGAGGAATTTGTATGAAAAAATATCTCTACAGGATAAATTGGATACAAAAATCAAATTCTGGTGATTTTTCCTGTAGAATAGTTTCATAGAGAATATCTGAGGAAATAAACGCGCAGATAAGCTGCGGAATTTTTCAATAGAATTGACCAAGAATGAAAAGACAGTTTCATGAAAACCAAATGGGATTTTCTAGGGCTACGAACAGGAATTTATTTTTCTCGTGAAAATTTGTTTAAACTACACTTTAGGCTGTCATTTCCGAGACACTTCTAGAAAATTTTCATCACATGATAATTCCACTGAAATTTCAAGGAATTTCGTCATTGAAAAATAAAAAATTTATGGAAAAATCAATTGGAACTTAAATTTTATTGCAATCTTTCCACGAAAATTGATAGAAATCATGTAAATGTTCTTTTCAATTATCAATTGAATATTGATATTCTCATTAAAAATTCCAATAAGTCGCAGAATTCTCGTCTTTTAATTGAATTATATTTTCAGCGAAATCTGAAATTTTACGTTTTCTCCTTAAATCGATGTCAATGTCACTCCCCTGAAAACTATTGCTGAACTGTCTCTGAAATTGCAACTTTTCCTAACACCGTAAGAATATCATTATTTGAATTAAGTGCCCTCTTGGTTCGTTTAGTGCTCAGGAGTTTCAGTTGAACGGAGTGTGCAGTGCCGAACACCTCGGCAAGCTCTCTTCCTGTACGTAAGTATCCGGGGAATTTTAATCTCACAGGGAACGACCGACCGGAACTGCGCTCTCTCATAATTGGTCAACGTTCTTTAGTTGGGTGGTAAAAGCCGGCAAAATAGGATGCGAGGGTGGGACGAGGGCCCCTCTTAATGTCGGTGATATAAAATCTTCAGGCCTTGGCTCGTGGGCTGCGACGATTATCCTTAATGGCCCCTTATTTCACAAATTCCCCGGGGAATTTCATATGCCATGAATTCATTGTTGTTTAAAAGGAAACTTTGTCCTTTAGAGATGAAGGATATGTTTCTCGTGATGTGAGTAACTGGAGCTCCTCGGGGCGGTACACAAGAATAGTTGGGGGCCTCCGGGGTATGTGAAAACCCAACGATGAGGAATATATTATATTTATAGGGAAAAGAGTATGAGGTCGATGCTGAGTCCTGCGAGGGAGATGGCGAGGAGCGCAGTATTCTTGAATAACACTTGATTTACATTTACGATCAATCATCTCCGCCTCGGGCATGCCAGTACTGAAGCTTATTAACTCATTCGTCTAGCCCATGAATAATTTAACAATTTAACACCTCTGTGCAGCTACAACCACGCCCCGAACGCCGACATTGATTGGGGTTTTTTTTATCGGCAGCTGAGGGATAATTAAACTTCATAACTGGGTAAACAAAGGAGGATGATGGGAAGTGTTTGGGAGTTTATTGCGGAAAGTCGAGGGATTGAGCTATGAATGAAATCGAGGGGAAGAAATCTTAGATTATTTCACTTTTTCTATTTTTATTCTAGATTATTACAGGAACTCTGTTTTCTCTCTCACTGTCATACATGATTTTGCGTTGAAACATAATGCCAGAATTTGATCAGATAATTATCAGTATATAAAAATGTGAATGAATCAATATCAATTACATTTTTCTGTTGGCGGAGTAAACCTGCGAAGGGTTTCCAGCGGTAATTTAAAAAAAAAAAGCTCTGTTTTCTTGGAATTGAGGGAGAGATTGTCAGCGTGAAATGCGTATGTGTTCAATTGGTGGTTCAGCAGAGACTTCTTTTTATCATCTACAGACTGTGTCACCTTTTTATCGCGTTTAATGATCCAGTGCCACTGAGGGGAAATTTTAAGTAAGTAAATCGAGTTGTCCATACTCTGATCACTAGTCCGGTTGATAACGTCGGGAGGTTTTACTGCTTGTCCTCGAATTTCTACTGTGCCAACAATGACGGAACTACGGATAGTAGCCAAGCCCACAAGAGTTTGTTCATGTCCAAGGGAAATATTGTTGTAATAAATGAACAAATTTGAATTAAAGAATTTTATTTGATTCAAATGTGTAATTTCCTTTCCTAGTCTCCTTCAATTTATAGGTATTCGATTCAGTTATATTTGCTTACAGCACACTGAGAGAAAAAATTATTCCTGCCAAGGATTGATATTCTCGTCAGAAGATAATATTTTTTCAGAACGAATTTTTCCAGGACAGTCATTTTCAGAGAGTTCAAGTCTATCCTCAAAAATTACAGTGATATTGAACAATCTGATTATTATGCTACATATGACCTTGACAAAATGTTCTCCGATATCTTCCGGATTTTACAAATTGGCGATTTTCTCAGGTAAAGAAAATTGGAATAATTCCAAATGTTAATAATTATTATTGGAGTTTCTTCGAGGTCATATGTAGAAGAATATTCTTATAGATCACCATAATTCTCACGCTTGGAACTGATTTCGGAGCACCTGGAAATGACTGGCCTGGAGAAATACGTTCCAAAAGAGATATTTTCTTCTACTAAGAGTATGAAAAAGATATCACCAATAACATTTTCTTGGAAGGAATAAATTTTTTTCTCAGTGCAAAGTTGACCGATTCGACGATAGCGTGATATCCGTTACCATGCGTCGACAATTATCCGGAGAAATAAAAAAGAACTTCTTTCGAAATAAGGAAAATTTTTTACATAAAGTTTTTTTCACATTTTGAGTTGAAGCCACTTGTTATCAATTCATTTCGGAATTACGATTACACTTCCACGTAGACTTGAACCGTCTCAATACTTGTGTGATTAATCATTAATAGCGAGATAATGAAGCCTCAGATTTTCACATTTGAGAGGCTTTGAGCGCCTGATCTAGATCAGCGATTAAATCAGCCTCGGTTTCCAGTCCCACTGACAATCGAATCAGCTTGTCGTTTATGCCAAGTGCATCACGTGCCTCTGGTGTCAGGGATGCATGCGTCATCACTGATCTAAAATTAGAAGGATGAAGTGAGGAAAAATAATCTTAGAATCAATTTTTTAAAATATTTGGTACAGTATTTTCTATCAATTTGCCCGGATTATCTGGGGAAATTTTTATTTGGAAGAATTATGCAAGTGATTTATTATAGCTCAACTTGGGCTTGCGAACAACTACAGTTGCTATTTCTACATCTCTAAGGAAAAAATCTCTTTCAAACCGAGAAGTGCCTGTAATTATTGTGATCTTGATCGACTTGATACTCTCGAACACTTCTTCTTACATTGTCCAGTCACTGCCAGTATGCGTGTTACTCTTTTTACCAGTGTCACCCCATTTAAAATTGTTTCAACAGGCTTTGACTATAAATCACCAAAATCTGGCAACCCTGCCTTTTTGTTAGCTTTCCTCATTTTTCAAATCGATCCTTGGGTAATATAATTTTTAACGCTAGCTTTACTGGGATTAAAGCAATTTATAAATTCACTTTGAACTGTGTAACTGCCCGGCGAAATATTGATGTACTTAACGCCGCAATTGCCTCTATTCAAAGACCTTTTAGTTTTTGTGTGTAATTGAAAAAATTGTTTTTTTAAGTTTTTTTTGTATAATCTTTGGTGAATAAGGCCGGTAGATTCTCGTTGTGCATTTCTCTAATAGCCTTTAAGTTATATTTACGTTTTAGTTTATCGCACTTTGCTCTTCCAAATGTGAAATTGTTTCTTTATACCGCTGCACATTGTATATATTTTATATACTTAATCAAGCTGCGATGGAGCTATGTATCTAATGTACCTATATGTAGCTATATGCAGAAATAATGATAATAATTATGCAAGTGATTTAATAGCTTTGTTTACTCACGGTAATTCAGCGAGTGACTCGTAACCCCCGAGCGACTCTGCCAGTGTGAAGATTTTGAGGGCTTTGAGGAATTTGTGAGAATTGTCTTTTATGTAAAATGTCACCATTCCACTGTGGCCCGTCTGTTGTTTTTTTGCTAACTCATGTTGAGGGTGGGATGGAAGGACTGAATAAAATAGAAAATTTGAAAATTGAAAATTTCGTGGAAAGTCGACTAATAATTTTCAAGAAAGTGACATGGAATGTGATTTAGGGGAGAAAAAATCATAAAACTTTAAATTTCACTGCAAATTCGATGAAATTTGAATGAATTCCTCAACTTGTTTGAATTTTCGTGATTTTCACTAACTTTCGGGGAATAATTGCACTGACATATACAGTTCTCATTGGTTTTTCCGTGAAAATCTGAACTTTCAATTCCAAAATTCAACAGTGAAATTTTCACTCATTCGATTAGGCAGAAGATTCAGAATACGATGAAAAGGAATCGAAATTCATGATTTTAAATGCAGGACTCACATGGATGGAACACTTTTTCCACGCGCGGATGACTTTCCAAGAACTTAGCAACTGCCAAACCGTTCGCCATGTGCTTTTCCATCCTAACCTCCAAGGTTTTCAGACTTCTATTGACTTGCTGGCAGTCAAAAGGTGATGGAACTATTCCCAAAGCTGAATCAAAAAATAAGATCCATCAACTAAACTGATCGAAGTCGTCATCAGAAAGGAAAAATGTAATTACCATTTTGGATATAGCGAAGTCGTTCTTCTAGGTCATCTCTTTGTGTTATCGCAGCACCCATGATGACATCTGAGTGTCCATTCATATATTTACTTAATGAGTAAACTACAAAGTCAGCACCGAGATCCAATGGTTTCTAAATAGATTAAATAAATAATAATAATCATAAATGAATGCAAAGTACACTCGATAATTTCTTTTGTTAAAATAGGTATTGCAATGGAATATGTCGATTCCGTCCCCATTCTCTCAATTCTGAAATTATGTTGAAACTTTTTCTACTATTTTGAGAATTTTACTCTACGAAAATGATTTTCATTCTGACAATTGCAACAGACAATAAGTCAAGATTTTTTATCGTTCGGACGATTTATTAGATAAAATTCTTTTCTGCTTGTGTACTGGCTCAACTTATTACAATTTACAATTGGATACAGTCTCAATTTTTGGACTTCGATACTCACTTGGAAGTAGCATGTAACAAAGCTGTTATCAACAACGGTGATAATGTCGGATCTAATGGCTTTGACAGTGTCAATAACAGCTTTTATATCGATTATTTTCAGCAGGGGATTCGTTGGTGTTTCCAGCCAGATCATCTGAATAAATATCAATATTTATGAATGCAAGTGATGATAAAAGTTGAGTCAAAAATGCAACCGTGATTGCTTTATAAGTATTTTCGATTTTCGAACGCTGCGCAAAAAAAAAATATTTTTTTGCAGCCGAAGGAATTCTCAACATGAATGATTCCTTGTTGATGCCCTCTAATGAAGTGAAATTATCAAAATATTTCCACAATTAACAATTAAAAAAAATATATCAATTATAAAATATTTTGCGATCTTGATGTCGAACCGAAAAAACACAGAAAGAAGTAGAAATTACTTTGGTGTTGGGCCGAATACTGTTGACGACATTGTTTATGCTTGTTGCGTCAGTGAACGTGACTCCTATACCATTCTTCGACAGGCAGGTTCTGAAGTATCTGTTGGTCCCACCATAGACGTCATCGCAACACACAATGTGATCCCCACCACCCAAAAGAGATGCCAGGGCTGTTGTTGCACCGAGACCCGAGGAAAACGCCAAACCGTGTTTTCCATTTTCTATTGCTGCTAAACAAGTCTCCAGAACTGTGCGGGTAGGATTGCCGCTCCTCCCGTATTCAAAACCCTCCAAAAGAAAATTCAGTTTTTTACGGAAGAGAAAGTCAAGTAAAAAAATAATATTGCTTTGTTTCTCTTTTGCTTCAAATCGTGCCTCAAATAATCTAAATAAATACATATTTTGGAAGAATTGTGGAGATGAGGAGCGGCTCTACATACTCGGTGCTGGGCAGGCCCGTCCTGTCGATAAGTCGTCGACATCACAATTGGAGGAATGACAGAACAATGAGTCCATTGCAGTGGATCCTGTCCAGCGTGAATTGCCTTAGTGGCGAAACCCTCTTTTGTACTAGTCGGCATTATCCGATAAAACCTCTGGAATTTCTAATCAACGGAGAAAAAATGAAACGTTGCATAAATTCTCAATGTCGGTATTGTTATTCTTCAAAATAGCGACTTATTGAAGGAAAAAGCATCTGGAAACTCTCAGAAATCGAATTAAAAAAATGGTTTTGGTTTTCTTCACACCAAATTATTAGATGTGATTAATTTTCAAGGGATATTAGATTGGATTTCTCCGGAGGATATTCGTTTTTTCCAAAATCAAATTCATTTTTTATTCAAGAACATAGCTCTTTTCATTGAAGCATACTTTAAAAATGATTACCACACGTTATAATTTGAATTGAAAGGAACATACCCCGATCCACCCCCGAATTGAGGCGGAGAATAAACTGCAGACGTTGATTCAGAGATACTGATTTTCGAATAACTTACCGCTGAGTTGATATACCCCTTCAACACCTCAGTATTGAATTCTTCCTGCGAAATATGGCAACGAGAAGTTATAGATTGCTGTCTCGTTGGGAACGCTTGCTCCTATCGCCCACGACTGAGCGTCAGAGCTCCCGTTCAAGTGCACAACGTCACTGGCACCACGTGATGTTGCTTAAATAACTGTAAACGTTGTCTCATTCCTCCCACCACTTGGCGGATAACACAGGAAACTTTTTGATGCAACAGCCGATAAACACAAGCTAAGTGTAAATATCACGCGCTTTTTCCCCGAAAAATTGCGTTAATTACACTGTGATTATCTCGTTAATTATTAAAGAGCCATCAGCGTTCGAAATTCTGCGACATTGAGCCAAACCGCCTACACCTGTAAAATTGAATGTCGCGTGGACCTCGCGGCGGTGTCGGCGCGCGACATTCAGTTTCTACTAGGGAATTGAGAAATATTTGTAATGTCTGAAATTAAATTTGAAAAAAAATGCCTAATAGAAATTCTTTATCAATAAATTTTATTACCGAACTTATGAACACGCACACTGTTAAAAAAATTGATATTTCATGGACATTAGACTAATAATTATTAGGAGAGTGTTATTGAATTGGATTTAGAGAGAAATAAGTAACGAAATTTCAGATTTCACTGGAAAGTTCCATTCTCCATTGATTTTTCCACGGAACGTTGAATTTTCAATGATGAAATTCCTTGAAATTCCAGTGCAACTTTCCAAGAAGTTTACCACTTCCCAAAAAAAACTAATATTGAACCGAACGGAAAGTTCCAAATGAAGAGTCTTGTTTGACAATCCCAAATTTCTCATTCATCATTAGTCGATTATCAACAATCGGGTCATTGTTACCTTCCTATTGCTCCAGTTCTTCCACTGCAACTAAGGAGAAACCTCAACCAACTTTCCGACAATTCGGTCGATAACGTCGTGAGTTTGCACCCCTCGTCCTCGAATTTCTACTCTACCACCGACGACAGCACCACGGATGATGGCCAACCCCCCAAGAGATGGTGCTGGAACTAATGAACGATCGACTACTACAATTAGCGTGTATAAACTCTTCTCCCAACAAAGCATTAATTAAGTCGATACAAATCCAATTACCCCGAGTATTTACCCCGAGCATGAAAACTTCATTTGCATGGGCTTTATCAGGATCACAAAAACTCTAGTCAACTCTCCAGTAATTTTCTTGGAAAAATTCATCCCCCCGCTGACAAAGTTTGAGACTCTAAAATTTTCCCCTGCAGTGCTGTATCAGCAATCTTAATTCGACACACGAAACTCCACTTCCTGTTGCCTCCGCTTGCGTTCTCTTAGCCATCGAATGCACAACAACTTTTCGAAAGAGGACGATCGTCTTTTCCCCGAGTTTTAGCCATCGCGTAGTATAACACAACTACAGAAACTTAGTAGCTCCTTTTCCGAGGGTATATCCGAGGAAAACCAGTAACGAGCGTTCTCAGATAGTAAACTCAAACTTTCCGTAAACCCAAAACTCCTAGAGCAAGCTGTCTCGGGATGTCGCTCAGTCGTCGGGTTTTCGAACGAATAAATATACTGGAAAAACGCATACGTATGTAAATAGGGCTGGGCTAAAAGAGCGGGGGGAGTTCCGCTGGAATACACGAACTGCACACCCTCGAGATTTTGGCTCCATAAATATGTATGCAATGAGGGACATTATAATACATTGATGATACGGACCCGATGTGCCACGTTGATCGCAGATCCCATTGTAACGTTTCAAATAAGCTCGGGGATTTCATGCGGCGATGGGACAACATCGTTGCACGTTTGTTGAATAGCAATGTAATAAAAATAGTGGGGCAACCTTTTTTCATGCGACCAGAGAAATGACGGATTTCGATCAAATAGAGCTCTTCGTTCAAGATTTTTTTGGTTTATTTCAGCAATATCTTTGTTAGGAATTAATGAATTCATGTATTTATTTTTATGGACATGTTTTAGTTGCATTGTTGGAAAAGTTTTGCTAAAGTTTCAAGGAATTCGGTCATTTTAAAGTCAGAATTTCAATGAAAAATCAATGGAAACTAAATTTCAGTTCAATTATTTCATAAAAATTGATAGAAATCAGGGAAATTCATGTAAATATATTAAAAAATATTGAATTTTCATTCAATCTTTCGGAATGATTTGCCATTTCATGAATTGTTTCCTCCTGAACGGATTTAAATGTTATTTTAGTGTCATTTCAATTTTTTCCAACGATGTATACGATATAAACAAGAATTCCGTTTCCAACTACTAAAGTTCTCATCTTAAACAAGAAAACATTCGTGTGTACAGAAAAACCTCCTGACTTTATGTAAATAAAGACGCGAATAAAGATCAAGTTTGAAGGGAAATGAAAGCTTTATCATGAGCCATTTCAATGAACCCCTATATTTCATTCAAACGAACCATTTCTCTGGGCGTGGAGGTGATGAATCAACGCGCAATGAAGAAACTCGATATTTCAAATAATAAAGGTAAAATACCTATTCTTGAACCGAGAATGAGGTATGCTCCAAGCGAAAGGAACCACTTTCAAATGAGGAATAAAAACTCGATAATTTATCTTTCATATTTGCTCTGAAATTAAAATTTATACGATAGAGAAGTCTTCTATTCTGTACTTGTCAATTTCCAGTGAGAAATTCCCTCCGTTTGCAAATCCATCCTTTACCAAGAAATTTCGAGAAGAACATTCAAGAGAATTAATCACTTAAAATCAATAGTATTTTCGTCACATACAGGATATCAATATTCACAAATCAATAATGCCCCCGAATTCGTTAAACGTCACGTACACTCTGCATTTGAACGCTGTTTAATTACCATAAAATTAATATCAATTATCACTGTCACTATTCTCGAGCCACATGTGGCCTCGTTCAACAGTCGGAATAACATTTCGGAAATGACGAATGGAAGCCTTTTAGGTGTGAGTGAGATATGCAATCCGGTGAGCCTCGCAGTATACGTCTAATGAGAACGATTACAGGCACAGTGGTACTGACGGATGCAATAACCACTGTGTGCACCAACCGCGTTTAAATACACGCAGCCATCCCCACGGCGATATGCCAGTGTCTCTCCTGTCGTCGGTGAAGCGCTGGAGAAAGTTAATTGAAAAGGGATGGCAGGCGGCTCGATTAGCTTGCGGCGTTCAGCGCTAAATTACGCGAGTCTTCATACCGTCCCGTTTGTGAACCGGTGTGCAGGAAGAGAGTGATGAGGAGGGTGTGCGGAAAATAGATGTCCCTGTCGTTGGAACATTTCGATCCGCTGAACACATTTTTCTCAGTGAAATATCTCGTTTTCGCGCATGGGGAAGAAGTGCAGTGAAAAATTATTATGTAAACGTAATATATTGTTACAAAAACATTGAAGTTTCATGAGTAATTGACTAGTCATTTTCAGAAGAGTGACATTCAATTAGAATTCCCCAATTTCCAGTAAAAATATGAATATTTGGAATCGACTTACACTGAAATTTCAATCAATTGAATATTCAAGGATTTATTCACTTGAATTGTTCTGATTTCTATTGATTTTCATGGAATAATTCAACTGAAATTTACATTTTCCACTGATTTTTCAAGGGAACTATAATGTGATGATAATTTCCAAGAAGTGTAACGCAAATTCCAGCCAAAAATTTTTCACAGTGTAGTAGGGAATCATATTGGAGAAATTACATCCGGTGAAATAGCTTATTGCGATGAAAAAAAAATTATTTGGATAGAATGAATAGATCTATTCAAATAGTTCATGATAACAATTTTATTCAAACTTAAACTGGATTTTTTTCCATTTTCGATTATGTCAAATGAATAGTATTCAAATATAAAGAAACTTTTACTTGATTCGAATGGAGAATGAATACATGAGTTTATTAATTTCCAACACAAATATTTTTCAAAGATATTTATTAAATTTAAATGCGTTATTTCTCTGGAAGCACTGAATTTAATTCATTTTAGCTAAATTATTGCGATGATAACTTTCTTTTTCACTTTCTAACATGTGTCCTGCATATTTTTCATCCCATGAATTTTTATTCATTTTCAAAATCCATGTTTCCACAGCAAAAAAAATCATAATCAAACCCTGAAACTAAATTCTCTGCATTCCAATCACTTATTGATCTTCACTCCAGTAAAACTAGAAGTCAATAAAAAAACATGATGAATCTATAAAATGTAATATCCTTTGAGGAACTCTGACCAGTGAATAAAAATCCCAGCTGTCGTAAAATTCTGTTTATTAAACCAAAACCTACCCTTTTTTTATTTCCAACCGAGAGTCGATTGCACCCACAGCGAGCGGTCATCAGAGGGCGAGCTATGGATTCAATATCCCTAATGGAATGAGCAGAACGAGGGTTGAAAAGTTAAAGAGCAATACGACAGACGCAGGGAAAAATCCCCTTCGGCGTGCATTGGTTCCATTGAAGCGCCCTCAGACCTCAGTCTTTCACCGACCACCCAAGGATTGCAGTTGTAAGTACTTTCGTGAGAATTAATTAAACTAATGAAGTGCCTCATGATGCTTGGGGTTTTTCACTCTCGGGGCTATTCCGCGCTCTGCAGATGAATAAGTTTCTTTACGAAAAAAGTAGAAAAAAATTGATTGTGCATGAAACAATTACGTACTGATTTCATTTTATTTTTCACTTGTACTTGAGTTATACTTGACTTCCTCAACAATCGCTCGTTGAAATTTCCCTTGAGCTATTCACGTTGCATTATTAACGACTGTAATTCGGCTTTATCGACAATTGGCGCTCGAGACTAGCCCAAACCCCTAAAAGTACATTAATGTACTGTATTAACACTATATATCATTTATTCATCCTGTGATCATTTAGTTTATTCCCCTGGGGAATAATAGCAATCTTAAGCGATCTTAATAGCAATGGAACAGACGTTTAGAAATATAATCACGATAGCATAAGAAATAGAGCAAGATTTTTCAAGAATAGAAGTATAAAATCAAAAATTTGTAATGACGGCACTCGTCTCTCATACAATTAGTGCAATTCAAACAATTCGTGGAGTAGTCTAATTGGAATTAGTTCCAATTCAAAAAGCTCATTCGAT